CTGTCTGGGCCCGGAGGGCCGTGCACACGTCGCTGGCTGTGGCTGTGAGGAGCACTAGCCTGATGGCGGAGGTGTGTCTGAGAACGAGGGAGGAGGTGCCTGTGGGGAGGGGCCTGACGGGTCTGGGCGAGGAACGGAGGGCTGGTTCCTCTTCTCCTGCAAGCCTCCCCATGGGCTGTCCCCACCTGGCCTGGTGCCCGTCTGGACTGGGAGCTCTGGGAGCTGCTCAGCAAATGCACGTTAGACAAGGGGTTGTGTCCTCCCCACTCAGCACTGGAGGAGTCGCAGAGACCCTTAGCGGGCCGGGGCGAGGCGGGGTCGGGGTCGGGGTCAGGAGGCTTGGGGACACCTGGTTGGCAAGGTGGCCTGAACACCAGCGTGCCAGCAGGGGCCCTGCGGGTCGGTACCCCCTTCCTGTCCCACTGCAGGTTCTGAGCCTGCTTAGGGGGGTCCCTGACTGTTGTCGCCCCCCTCCCTAGCAGTGGTCTGTCTGGAACGTTCTAGATGGGAGACACCCGCGGGAGATGCTGTCTGCCCGCCCCGGGGGCCACTGACTGCCCATTGACAGATGCCTACGGGGCTCTTCCGTGTGTGGCCAACGCGGCAGAGGGGCTGTGTCCTCGCTGGGTGGCTGGTCCTGTGTGCCCCCTCACCATGAAATGGGCCTCTGAAGAGACGGGCTGGGGAGTGGCAGGCCCAAGCAGGGCACCGTGGTCCGAATGGCTCCTGGAGCCAGCCTCCATGCAGTCCCCAGCATGTGCCACACCCTCCGTCACTTCCTGAGCCCAAGCCTGCCGGCCTCTGCCTGGTGGACACCTCTTGGGAGCTGTCTGGGGCAGGTACCTCGCCTCACTCTCGCCCCACCCCCGACTCTGTAGGGAGGGGCGTGGAGCAGGCCTGACGCAGGCTCTGGCATGGGGTACGGAGCTGTGGGCGGGGCAGTCCGCACCCCCTCACCCTGGACCGCTTCTGTGCCCACAGTGCAAGAGAAGCCCGAGCCAGTGCCGCTGGAGAGCCGCTCCTGCGTCCTCATCCGTCGAGACCTGGTGGCCCTGCCTGCCAGCCTCATCAGCCAGATCGGGTACCGCTGCCACCCCAAGCTCTACTCGGAGGGGGACCCCGGCGAGAAGCTGGAGCTGGTGGCAGGTGAGCCCCCACCGTCTGTTGTGTGCAAATACTTCCTTCCCTCTTCCCTCACTGCACAATGCGCTCATCACCAATCAGTCAAAAAGAGAGACCGACTCAGATCTTCTCTCATTTCCTCTTGGAAGAATGTGTCATTAAGAGTTGTTCAATTGAATTAATTTTGCATTTTAATTGAGTCCCCTGGGCGGGGGGCCCCTGGTTGGCACGCGAAAACCACGATTGTGTTGTAATTTAGGTCACAGATAAAAGCGGGCTGTGTGTGTTTCACTGGCCCCCCTCCCAGCCCCAAAAATTCAGCCTTTGCACGTAATAACCGGAGGTTTCCCGTAGCAGCTCATGGTCCAGGATGGATTCTTCTGGAAAAGAACCCACGCAGTCGAGTCCGAATGCCCGTTAGGGCCACATGCCTTTGTCAGAACGTTTGTCTTTCTGGCATTGGGATTCATGTTGTCCTCAGCTCCTTGTAGGTTTTCAGGCTTTTCTACGAAGAGATGAAAACACACGGCATTGTCACCTGTGTGGGTATGAACGGTTGCCAGCAATCTCTTCCCTCCACACCCCACCTGAGTCCCAGACATGGGCTGAGCAGGCCTGTGGGCACCTTCTGCCCCACTGGGCACCCCCAAGTGTCTAGCCCCGTAGCTGGTCCCTCGGCCCCGTGTGGTCAGGCAGCATCTGGGACTGGCTCTCCCTGTGGACTAGCATGTTCTAGAATGTTCTTCTCTCCTGTAAATAACACTCGTGGCATGGGACGTCACAGTGAGGGCCGTGCCGGCCGGTAGGGCATCTGCTGTTTTAAAGGGGAGCCATTCCGTAGGTTGCGTGTGGGAGTGTGGGATTGTCTGGCCAGTGGGCTGTGATGAATGGGGTGCCAGGTGATCCTGGGGCTAGGGGTGGGGTTGCCCAGTGCCCACCAGGTGGCCGTGGTCCCAGGTGAAGCCTTGGAGAGGTGGTGTACCAACAGCCCCTGCCCCTCAGCAGTGGCCTGTCTGGGGTTAGGGAGGAGGAGGAGGAGGCGGGCTAGCATGCCATCCACTCCAGCCTGAAGCTGGCTGTCAGTTGTCAGATGCCCCACCTTGGACCCAGGCCTGTGCTAAACCTCATTTTATAGATCTCCCCACAAGGGGTATGTGCAGCCCCTGCAGTACACAGTGGCCTGCCCTTGCTGTGGGGCTGCCAGGCTGGGCAGAGATGGGGCCTCAGGGACCCTGGTCACAACATGGCCAAAGACTGTCTACTGCACTCACCAGCTCCACCCAGAGCCAGTCCTGTGTCTACGTAACTGGTGGCTGCTGGCTCCCTGGATCCCAGGCTGCCTTGGGGCTGGGAGACGGGGCGTTAGATGTCACTGCAGTCTGTGAGTGGAGTGGTGGGCCTGAGACCACATCTGCCCCAAGGGGGTGCAACCCCGAGCCAGCATTTGAATTCCTGGTCTCACCAGTTGGCGGAGAGACCCTGCCTGGGGGTCTCCATCTGGGACATCCCCCAGGGCGGCCAGGAGCATGGAACCCCAGCCTCATGCCTTGTCACCTGGTCTGTGGTGTGACCCCCTGTATCCGTGGGGATGTCTGAGGGGCTGGCCCTGTGCCGTTGGGCCGAGGTTGTACAGCCGTGGGCAGGGGAGGCTTCAAGGCCAGCTCTGGGCTCCAGGAATGAGAGGAGGGTGCGGTATGGGCGGAGCCGGGTCTGCTGCATGGAGTCTGCGCCTGCCCCTGTGGAGGGGTAGGGGGTGGGAAACATTAGGTTTGGGGCACCAAGGCAGGCTGTGGGGGGAGAGGCTTGGGGAGTGTGGGGTGTGGGGGCTGGTTGGAGGAGTCCAGGTAGGTGAGAGAAGGAGCTGTGGTGTGGGGGGCAGGGGGCGTTAAGAGAGCTGACTGCTCCCCTGGGGAACTCTGCGGCCTGGCCAGGGGGAGGCAGAGGTGGTGAGGCGTGCAGGAAGCTGAGCAAAGCGTGTGAACATATGCCCCTTCAGGGCGTGGTGCCATGCTCATCGAGATGGGCCATCCCCAGAACGAGTTCTGGGGGAGCTGGGAAGGTGCTGAGGCCCAGGTGACGGTCTTTACAGGGGTGGGGGCAACGCCAGCCCTTCAGGCCCCCAAGCCGACGGTCTGGCAAGAGGGAGCTTGTGTGTCTTCCTTCCGCCCTTTCCCCAAAGAAAGGAGCCCTGGTTGCTCTTTTTCCTGATAATAAGATGCAACACGAGCTGTATAAAAAAGTCAGACCACAGAGAGAATGGCACCAACAAGGCCACGGAAGGCCCGAGAGCCCCCTCCACATGCCGTGTCTCCTGGGTTTTTTATCAGCGAGCTGCACCCTCCCGACTCCTACCCCACTGCCTGGTCTCCGTTAGCACAATGCAGACAGAGCCTCCCCATCATGCCTGGGGGCACACAGAGCCCCCCTCCCCACCATTGTTCCTGGGTGCAGGGCCTGCTGTTGGCTTGGGTGTCTGGTCACCCCACCCTGGAGGGGCCCCTGTGGTAGCTCCAGGACCCCAACCACACCCTCTGTCCTGTGCTGGGGATCCCAGTGCAGCGGAGAGGGAGCTGGTTCTGGTGAGGCCAGCCTGACCCAGACCCAGACCCTTGGGGTGATCTGTCAGTCTCCCCATCACTGCCCGAGGCTCTGGCATCTTGGAAGTACGGAGAGGCAGACCCAGGCCCCCAGGAGAATTGCTGAGGCTTTGGATC